ACCCATCTTGGGAAAAACAGTCAAATGGTTTAATGAGAGAGTGACGCAATTATGGGAAAGAGCGAAAAAATTCTCCATCTAACATGTGAAAGACCGCAAGGCCTGCCTTGAAAGTCTCATGCAAGACTTAGAAGAATGGGATGAAGAGCTTATGAAGGATCCGTTGCGCCACCCATCCTATGATAAAATGCAAGAGGCCCGAGATCACCTCTAATCGTATATCGAGCAGCAGGCGCAAGCATGAAGGGTGCACACCCAAATTAAAAATATAAGTCCGTTAACATTTAAGGAGCGTATATCGATATCCGCCTGAGCCAGTTTTATTGCCCATTGAGGTTTTCTCCCGATCGGAGGGAAAACGGCGGGAGGCGGGGGGCATCTGGGAGGCGAGGGGGGGGGAGTCATCGGGCGTGGCGGTTGCTGTTGTGTGAGCGAGTAGGGTGTGGGGTAGTGATTGTTAAGTTGAATGTCAGTTGTTATTGTGTGAGAGAGTGGGAGGTTGGGAGGTGAGTGTCCGTCGGGTTGTCAAGTGCCTGTAGGTTGGGCGGATGCGGGGAGCGGGCATTGAGTGGGTTTGTGTTATGATACATCCTTTCAGGAGGGCAGGGGACTGTAGGTAGGCCTCACGTAGGCAGTTCACACCAGTGATCATGGGGTTCTGTGTATGGCCGTATGAGTCCGTTTGATCGCGAAGACTGTGTGTAATTATTGCCGAAGTGCCTCAACCGCTTCAGTCCACGACTTTAATCGGGAGGACAAATGGCGGGTCATCCCATTGATTGTGTTTATCCAGCACATTGTCCTCCATGAAGATTTGCATGAACCGTAGTACTTTGGTCAAAGTCCAAACAAAGTTAGTTCTGAATCGGTCGGCAGGCAAGTCCATGAGATCCCGATGGGTGAACCACTTATGTATTGTTGTTGTTGTCTGAGCTGTGGTTTTCAGGTTGATGAGCACGATGACTGGGATAACCCCTCCGGAAATGTCTCCACACGTGGTTAACCAGGGGTGTTATTTTCGACGAATTTTGCACCGAATTGCACTGAAACTGTCATACTGTGCTGATTTTTTGCTTTTTTTAAGTTTTTTTGAATTTTTTCTTGTTTTTTTTTTTTGTGATATAAATTTATTTTTTGATGTTTGCACTATGGTCTCATATCGTTTGTTTTTAAAATTTTTGATGAAATTCGTACCGCAATTGTCAATGAAAACGGCGAATATTTGGGCCCCCATTAACCGTCTCTCCGGAAATGACAACGAGTGTGGCAACACAACTCCTTGTAACCCTTCCAATTGTGTCTCCCGGTGCCAGTATTTAAGGTGCTTCAGGATGACGACAGTGGAGGGGTTGCCCCTCCATCCCTCTAATGTGAGGCCATCTAGATCCAGGGGATGTTGAGGGGGTTGATCTGAGGGGGGTCTGAGTCCCAGCACCCATTGTCCTCCTTCCCTCTGTCGTGCTATCGGGAACAAAATAGCCCCTGGTGGCACTTGCATTGGAGTGTCATCATCATTTTGCAATCTCACCCGATCTCTCAGTTTCCCCCAAGGGGGATCGTCAAATGCCTCTTTATCTGAGCTACATTGCGAGTCATCGTCATCATCATGCAGTATCTCAATTTTGCGAGGGCGGCAGAGCGGGCCTGACTGTGTGTTGCCGGTGGTGGCTACGTGTGTCGCCTGCTGATCATGTTGTTGTGGTTCCGTCTCCCATGTGATGATTTGTGTCTTGTTTTTGTTCCAGTTGCATGGATGTGGCAACAGTGGGGCCGTGTAAGGTGGCGGAGAGTTCCCGGACCAGCAGCTTAGGCCATGCTGAGACTCAGACCCCCGTCAGTTCCTGGTCTGTTTGGGTTTTGTTTGTTAGGATGCTGGTCAAATCTGTTTTTTGCATAATGTTGTATTTTATCCAAGAATTCGTTGACCACCAAGACAATTGCTGCACCTACGTCCATCCGGTTAATAGACAATATATTATTGTATTTTTCGACAGTGGCCAGAACCCGGGGAGTGAACATCAAAACTTCCCTATATCCTTGTCTCACAGAATACTACCATACTGGAGTAGGATCTCTCCCTTTCCATTCCCATTCATCCGGGTCGAATGGGAGTGAACACACTAGTGTGGCCATTTCATAGGCAAAGTAACCTATATCATCTGAGCCCACCACCCTCACCCTCATCAATCCTTCAACCGGGAGTATGCAGTCCTGATCACCATCCCTTTTGAGCAGCGCCCACCGTGCCCCTGGCATGTCCGGTACGTAAGCTTGCACTTGAGCCTCTTGACTAGTGCATTGACCGACCCTAAAGATGGTCATTGGTATGGAATTCCTGGCGCTGCGTATGACCTAGTCCAGACTGCAAATTGATGGGTCATTTCGCAGGGCGATCACCCACGTGGGCGAGATCGCCCTAAGGATTTGGTCCAACTTGTCCTGTTGTTTCTTAATGTGTGTCAGGGATGGTCGCAGCTGTTCAACTGTTTTCCAGTCACCCCTGTTGCTATCCCAAAGGTCTTGGCTGCTAGGGAGAAGGGTTTCCCATCTGCATCGCAGATGTCGGGGTTCCCGAATACCGGCTGTCTCCATACCTCCTGCCATCTCAGTGGAGGGGACTTTTTGGTTGGCCCCATTTGCCTCCATAGGTGGATCATTTTGGCCCACAGTGGGTCATTTTTCAGATCCCACCTAACATTGTTGCGGACCGTTCCATCCCGCCTATGTCGTGGAGGGCCCGGTACTGTCCAAGTCCCATCCGTTAGCCCTGCAAGAGGGTGGACTGGGGCATCTGGATGAGAGGGGGGGGCCAAGTTTGCCAGTTGTATATACGCCAGCGGCAGCCACGGGACGTCGTTTGCTAGCAGAAGACGGATGATTACTTTGAACATGAGGGCCTTGATCTCATCCCCCGGGTCTAGAATGCCTAGACCCCCCACCTTTTTTGGTTGAGCCACGTACTTCCACGCCACCCTTTTTAGACAGCTGGTTAGTTTATGGTCATTTCTCCATAAATAGGCAGACAGTGCTGAGCGCAGATGTGTGAGTTGGTTTTTGGGGATCTCCCAAAATGTTGTTTTGTACCACACCGTAGCTAGTATGGCATTATTAATTGCAAGCGCTCTCCCCACTAGTGATGTGGGTAGTCCATCCCATTTGGCCAGTTTTTGGAGCGTTGTTTGGACAAGGACCTGTCCATGGTCCGTTGGGGGACCGAGGGCTGTCAGGCGGAGCCCCAGGATTCTGATGGCCTCTTCTTTGGGTTTCCAGCTGACTGGGGGCTGTTGCGGCGGATGGGAGTCCTGCGGGGATAACCACCACCCTTCTGTCTTGGTTCCCCAGTTGACCTTCATGTATGCAGCCACTTCGAATGTCTGGATGGTTTCTGTGAGCGCTTTGAGAGATGCTGCTTTAGCTTTAATGAGAACTGTGAGATCATCGGCAAATAGAGATGTAACCGGGATCATGTGGGGGGGCATTTCTGGGATATCTATGCGTTCTATTGCAGGGTTGACCCTTATCATTTTTTTTTTTAGCGTTCAGTCTCGGACAGACTGTCCCGGGAGGACGTTCAACCGGACAACCCCGGACGGTCAGGGCGGTCCCAGACGTCCGGCCTGGCAACATAGGCAAGAAGTAGTCTCAGGGTACACTCCCAAACCAAAATCACATCTTTGTTTTTCTTTGTTTTTCTTTTTTCTTTTTGAAACCAAAATCACATCTCTTTCTTTCAGTCGAACCCTACCACCACCTCTTGCTGGCCCAGCCCAGACTACCATATAGTGTTTAATCTTTTTTTTTTTTTTTTTTTTTTTTTTTTTTTAAGCTCCATCTGTTGGTGGGGAGCATCACCTGCTGAAAATCGGGTCCACCTTATAGTGTTTAATAATTATTTAATGATTGGTTGACTATAGATCCTTCCATCCCACTCCTGCCCTCTCTCAGAATTCCCAGCCCTGCTTTCACCCTCTTCAATGGGTCTAGTACCTCTGACTTGGTTTGGTAACTTTGGTGTGATCTGATTTTTCTAGAAGATGAGTGATGTGGATCTGCTGAACTTTGAAGTGTCCAATTGGCCACAGGTTGTGGATACCAGTGCTTTCTCCTGATTAGATCTGGTGCCCAAGGAATGGGTGAAGAGATAGAATGCAGTTTGAGATCTCTGAAGTTCTCAATGATGTCAGAATATGTTATTCGACGGGATGCTGGAGCCGTTTTCCATCAGGTGCAGCTCCCTGCTAATAGATGGAGCAGTCTTTTGCAGACCGACTAGGGGAGGACGCTTATGTCACCTTTTGTAGTAGGGATGTATGGGTTACACACACAAAAAAAAAAAAAAAAAGATTTTGGTCCAGCCCTGCAACATACTTCTTTGGTTGGTCATGCCATACTGGGGGAAAGCCCGTGTTTAGGGCCTTTTTCTGTCGGAAGCTTTTTTGCTTTTTTTGTCCTTTTTCAAATTGATCTGAAAGAGGGCCTTGGGGCCTTGTCTGTCAGAAGCCTTTTTTGTCGGGCCTAAAAAAGGGCCTTGGAAAGTTGGTACCAGGAAGTGACTTTTGATGATTGAGGCAGCTATTTTTGTAAGAATGCCTATTGAGAGGCCGACGTCGTAGAGTTTATTAGTTGGTACCTGTTGGCGGCACGAATGATTTTCATAGGGATTGACGATATTTTTAGCGGGAACTTGCTAAAAGTTACGAACTCCTAGAATATGTCCCAACCATACGCAAGATAAATAGCTAATAGACTATGTCAATTCCCACCGACAGATCCCTGAAGAGCGCTGGTGTGGCGACCAGCCGAAACCGGTCGGGTCGCGCCATGGTTATACGTGACTCATGTTTTCACGCATTTTTTCTGAGTTACGTTCGGGACTTTTTTTACTTGCGTTGGTATCTTGTCATATCTCTCTCTCTCTTCTTCTCTCTCTCTCTCTCCCTTATCTCTCTTTCTCCTTGACTTGACTTTTTGTGAGCTCCCGTGATGCGTCTTGACTGTCGGCTTGGTCATTCAGGTTGTTGAATACAACAACTTTCATTCACAAAGTAACCGGCATAGAGGTTACACTACTGCTGTGTGGCTTTGCATCCCACGACTACCACTGCTGACGTTTCAAGTATGGCCATGAATGGAGCTGCTGCCAGAGGATGTTACAACTGCGGACAAGTCGGGCATTTTGCCCGTTTCTGTCCATTACCGCCTCGGAGTCAAGTTGCTAATCCGAACTCTGCCATCGTACCGGTGCAGACGCCGTTACTCACTGCCCCGAATAACACTGGAGGCTACAATGGGAATACCGGTAATTACAATTATAATCGAGGAGGTGGTGGCTGGAGTTATACCAACCAACGGCTTGCTAACCTAGAAGATCAGGTGTCCAAGTTCAAGGTCCGTTATGATGCGGAAGAAGAACGCGAGAAGATCAAGAAAGAAGAAGAAGAACGTAGGAGCAGAGAGGAAGAGGAGGAAAAAAGAAGAGAACGGGACCGTAAGGACCGGGAGGTTGCTTATAAGAAGATGTCCGAAGAAATGAATGCACGCTTCTATAAGGTGTCCGAAGCTTTGGAGAGTAAGACCACAAAGGATAGTTCGAAAGAAATCGCCATGCTGAAGGAGCAGATTGAGCGGCTGCAACACACCAAAGATGGGGACAGACCATCCAGCAGCGGTGCTACATCTATCGAGAACGAGATGATGAGAAAACTTCACGAGTTGGAGGAGTTTAAGAGTAGTGCACAGGCTGAAGCCGATCGGCGGGTGACTCTGCTTGAGGAAGAGGTTAAGGTTCTGAAGCTTCTCCACAAGCGAGTTCAGGACGAAGCAGAATCCTGGAAACAGGAAGCCCTTCGACCCGGAAACAAAAGGGGCTGCATCGCCATTAGTGAATCGCCGAGCTTGATGACTAGAAAAGGACAAGAGTCACAGCGATGGACTCCCCTGCTCCTTCGACATTATGGCGCAACAAGGCGAGTGAGCTAGATGAAGCACATCGTAAGGAGGTCCAGTTTCTGAAGGAGTTGAGAAGTCGTGATCTCAATGACAGACGTATTGCTGAGCAGGAGGCCGACTTGCTTAGAAAAGGAAAGGAAACAATGGAGCAGGAAATCGAAAGACTCAAGGAGGAAGTCACGCGATTGAACTTGGAGAGACAGTGTGCAGGCACTGCTAGCAATCTCAAAGCTAAGATGGACGAAGCGGCCACGAATTCGGCTAGAAAAAAAGGAAAGGAACCTGCATCGGTGGGTAAGACGTACAAGGAGGCGAATGATAAGCAGGACTTCGTGGCTGATGCTAGGAAGAACCTCAAAGGCTTGAAGAAGGACGTGGTCAAAGTCATATGTGCCAAAGAAGGAATCGAGTATACCATGCTTGAGAGAACGAAGGAGGCTATTGTTACACAACGTGCTGCAACGACATTTGGTTCCACCTCAGTCGAAGTCGTACCCGATGACTCCGCTCGCAGTGCTGATGTCGCAGACGCAAACGGAGAAGAAGTTGCTTCTTAGTTTCCCTCCCGAACGTAGCTCGACTATGGCAGCTCGCTTTTCGTTGTAGACGGATTATATCTTACTCTGTTGATCTCTTGCGATGTAAGATGTTGAATGTCTTCTTTTGCTTGATCGTCCCTCAACTTTCATATGCATGTCAGATTCCCTGGGTGACGAAGTGTGCCAACTATTCTAGTAGACTGTTGCTGAATGATTATGACTTTGATAAGTGTAACGGACCTCTCGTTTATGCTTTAGTTTCACCCTGGAACCAGCACGTCTATATAGGGAGTACTTCGAGGAATTTGTTCACCCGATGGAGTGAGCACGTGTATAGAACGGGTAATGTAGAAACGAAGGAGGGACGACGTAATGAGCGACTCTACCAATGGCTGAGACGGTGTGGTGCTGAGAGTTATGTTCCTATTCCGCTATGCGAGTGTTCTGAGGATGATCGTTTACAGTGTGAAAGATTTTTTATCAGACAGTTTTCTTCTTCTCTTAATGCACGTGTCAAGCCTCGACGACACAGAAGGTGCCGTAAGGGATTACGAGAGAGATTGCGATTGAAACGATCACGGGAAGAAGTCTTATCTGTGAACGCTCCCTCTAGCAAGTCAGTTTTGACCTTTCACTGTAGTTCGGGCTTAGTTTCGTTCAGCTTGTTGAAGATATTGCGTAATCAAGTAGACAATGATGTGGATCACTGCGTTGTGAAATGTGTGAGGGGAAGTACGCTGATTGACTCTTGGAAGGTTATTAAACGGTGTTTTTGTGGTTCTATCGTAGAGTGTTCGTTTGGACGTAACCAACTCAGGAAGTGTCGAGGATGGTTCGTAGAAGGTGCTACGTTGACGTTTGTCCAGATCGTGAGTTTTCAGAAAAAATCGTTGGGTTTAAAAGTTCCACTGTCGAAGTTGTTAAGTCAGCCCGCCAGTAGGAGAAATCTTGATCACTGGAGCTTTGACCAGATAGTGTATGGCTTTAGTGCGATTCGTTCGTTCTCCGAGAAACGGACACGGTATCGACTCTGGCATATTTTGTCCACCTATGCGACTCGACGTTTCCAAATTCAGATACGCCAGCAGCTGGTTGTGCGATTAATATATAATGATGCAATAAATAAATCGAAGGTACGAAGAGTTTGCATTAGTATTATTAGATCTCTTGATATTTCTAAAGCTTGGAAGGATCTTCCAATTAGACGTATTAGGATAGTCTGGTGCCGTAATAAAACCGTAGGGGATTTGTTTTTTAACTTTCATGATTACTCTAGGAGAGACTCGGTTGTCTGTGTGTGTGACCAGTGCGATGAGAGTCTACCACGACGAAAAGGACATGTTGCGTTTCGGGTAAGTGATGTTGACTTCCTTCCACCCTTATTCTCTAATTCCCGTAATATCATCAAACCTTCGTCTTCTAGTCGAACAGCTATATCTGAGCTTCGGAGGGAAATTCTATCTGCATTCAGACAACACTCTTCTATTCGTGACATCTCATCACTATCGCTGCCTGATGAACTCATCTGGAGTTGCTTTGATTCTTCCGCTTCTTCTATCGTCCCTTCTTCTTCTTCCTCTGAATCTATCCCTTTGTCATCATCATCTCCTTTTGTAACTATTCTCAAAAATCTGGTCGTCTGTCCCATCGATCACAATGTCGGAGATTCCTATATCTGTTGTCCCACCGTCTATCGAGAAGGTCTCTGCAAACTGTTTTTTTTTTTTTTTTTTTTTTTTTTAAAAGGCCCTTTTACAAGGCCTCTATCCTTCGTAATTCTGCTTTCTCTTTATGTACGAAGGATGAAAAGACGATTCTGTCTGAGTGTCATTCCACCTATATTTCGAAGGGGCTTGGATCAATCGCGAAATGGAAAGGTAACGGATCGCTGGGGAATGTGTACTGTATACCGAAACATAAAGACTTAGAGAGATGGCGACCTATCTGCCCCTCTCATTCGAAGTGTTCGGTAACCGCAAGTAAACGAGCTTCGGCGGCTATCAATCAGCTCCTATGGTCTATTCCCTCTTCTCTTCACTACAATATGCGAGCCACGACAGATTTGATGACACGACTTGCAACAATGAACAAAGGACTTAAGAAAGTTGACTTTGTGGTAGGGGCCTCTTTTGATATAAAAGAGATGTTTTCAAATCTTCAGCATACGTCCATTTTGCATGCAGTGCGATGGGTTTGTGATTTCTGGCTGGGAAAAGGATACAAACGAGTCTCTGTTGCAGTTAGAGGTAAGCAGGCAAAATTCCTGAAAGGCAAAAAAGAAGATGGGTGGGTAGCACTAGACTTTGCGATTATCTATGATTTTGTCCAATTCGAGCTAGAAAACACTTTCATCAAGGTAGGTGGTCTGATTCGATGTCAGATAATAGGCATCCCAATGGGAAAATCCTCGAGCCCAGCTTTAGCTTGTCTTTTATGCGCCTTCAACGAATTCTTATTTATCTCCTCTCTCGATAGTATCCGACCTCGCGTCTTCGGATGTAGACTGCTAGACGATGTCTCCATATTTGTCATATGTAACCTAAAAGATGGTGTTACCTGTGAGGATGGAAATCAGATTATTCAGCAGTTCTCCTTATGCTATGATAAGAACTTGGTATTAGAGAAGACCAATTCAGGCCAAAGTTGGGACTTCATCGGTTGTGTTGTCAAAATCTTTGAAGACGATGGTGGTGTGGATAGTATTCCGCTGCACAAGAACCAGAGACAGTGGAGCAGGGTCAAACCAATGTTCCAAAGTATTCAAGATTTCAATTCCTATTCAAGCAAGCAGCAGAAGATGGCCGTTATTGGATCGTTTTTACACAGAGCAAGAACTTTTACCACGGTCAAAGGCACTGAATTTTCTTTCTTATTTACATTGAAGGTTGAATTATGGCGAAGGGGTTATCCAGATGTCTTCTTCTTCTTTTTTTATTATTATTATTATTATTATTATTATTATTTTTAAAGGGCCCAGTGCCCAAGGCTGATATTATCAATATGATGATTGAGGCCGGGGTCCTCACACTCGGGTAACCAGTGGGAACCAGCTTAGAACATAATGAGCCAAATCTACAATGTTAAACAATTATCCACTGGTCAATGCTCTGTTCATCTGATATCCATGCTCAACAGAGGGAAGTCAACTAGATGTCTTCTTTGATAATTCGTTGATCAATTTTTCAAATAAGTTCTCGGGTATTTGGCAGCAGTGGGTAGAGTTACTTACCGGATGGGGGAGAAGAGGCCATACTGGGGGAAAGCCCGTGTTTAGGGCCTTTTTTCTGACGGAAGCTTTTTTGCTTTTTTTGTCCTTTTTCAAGTTGATCTGAAAGAGGGCCTAGGGGCCTTGTCTGTCAGAAGCCTTTTTTGTCGGGCCTAAAAAAGGGCCTTGGAAAGTTGGTACCAGGAAGTGACTTTTGATGATTAAGGCAGCTATTTTTGTAAGAATGCCTATTGAGAGGCCGACGTCGTAGAGTTTATTAGTTGGTACCTGTTGGCGGCGCGAATGATTTTCATAGGGATTGACGACATTTTTAGCGTGAACTTGCTAAAAGTTACGAAGTCCTAGAATATGTCCTAACCATACGCAAGATAAATAGCTAATAGACTATGTCAATTCCCACCGACAGATCCCTGAAGAGCGCTGGTGTGGCGACCAGCCGAAACCGGTCGGATCGTGCCACGGTTATACGTGACTCATGTTTTCACACATTTTTTCTGAGTTACGTTCGGGACTTTTTTACTTGCGTTGGTATCTTGTCATCTCTCTCTCTCTCTTCTTCTCTCTCTCTCTCTCCCTTATCTCTCTTTCTCCTTGACTTGACTTTCTGTCAGCTACCGTGATGCGTCTTGACTGTCGGCTTGGTCATTCAGGTTGTTGAATACAACAACCGCTGGTTCCAGTCCAATCATTACTGATCGCGGTTTTGAGCATTCTTTTTTGTTTTGGTAAAAGGCTTCAGCAACCTTTCCCTTCCCTTCTCTTCCACTTTTCATTCTCCGTTCTTTTTGCTGGTGTTGTGCAATGCTGTGACAGGTGAGATTATCCTAGATAAACGAAGAAATCATTTAAATAATAATTATCCTCGTCCAAATGCACCTGGATGTGCAGATGCCCACCTTCATGATATGTCCACCTGGACATCAGATGCCCACCTGCATGATATGTCCACTGTCCACCTGGACATCAGATGCCCACTTGCATGATATGTCCAGCTGGACATCAGATGCCCACTTGCATTCTCTTTTTCCCTTTTGCATTAAAAACAATGACTGGAACATGTGTCCCACACCCCCCTCACATCAAGAACACGCTCTCAAGGCCTACCATTGATTCGTTCCTGCTATCGGAAGCATGTGCTCCTGCTCCACCACCCCCTCTTTTTCATGTGATCCATCAATATAGGGCTGACTATTTCCTTCTCTAAGCTCCTCTCTTGGAAAATGCATCCTACATACCCTCATCTGAGTAGTGCGTCTCAGTCCACTTGTGTACTGTCAGTGCAGAAATGCGATCCCCAGGCTGCCTGCGATTGGTCTCCGGTCTCCGGTTTTGTTTTTATCTTTCTTTCTTGGAATTGCTGCAATCTATTCATGGGGAGCAACAGGTGCTGGGAATCCGGTCTTTTTTTTTCTTCTCCCCCCCTCCCCCCCCCTCCCCTGGAATTGCTCCAATCTATTCATGGGGAGCAACAGGTGCTGCGAAGTGGGCCCAGCGTCCCTTGGTCTCTGGTCTACCTTCAAGTTTAGGTAGAGTCCCTTCCCTCCTCTCGTTAGGGGCTGTGCAAAAACATGTGGCACTGCGGTTCCGCATCTTGGCGCCCCCACGGTTGTCCTGTCTGCTTATCTCTATCGCGATTAAGTCATAATTCAGTGGACATGGCGCTGCCCATGTGATTCTTCGGGATGGGCGTTTGATGACAGAGTACAAGCTTCCTATAAACCTTTCCTCCCGTCCGGTCCCTTTCTCATAGGGGACGAACCCAAAATCTGAGAAAAAACAATACAGAGGCTGGGGCCGTGTACTGGCAGTTTAAGCGACCAGTACATGGCCCCAGGGCAACT